GTTTTAAACTCTCTCTCTCTCCCTCTTTCCCTGTCCGCCTGACCTGACTGTTTACCGACCGTCACCCTCTTTAATGAGGAGCGTTTCTTCATCAGCCATGTTTAAACTGCAGGCAGGATTAACTCAGCTAAAGACTTCATGCGCAGTCCACCTATGGTCTGTTTGCAGTTTCCAGGCTGCAGATTGACACGCGGCGCTGTTAGGATTTCCTCTCTCTTTCTCTCGCTTGTTCTCCATCTCTCTGGGCACCCTTTGCCTCCGCCCCCTCCCTCGTTCTCATTTTGCCTGAATTAATTGAGTTCTCATTTTAGTGCGAAAGCTCACAGGAGGGCCGTGCGAGCAAAAGAAGGGGTGTGATRGAGAAAATAAGGGAGAGACAGAGAAAGATCAGTAGCAGAAGCCTTGGGGGCATCGCTTCCCCAGAGGTAGACGGTCTGCCTGCTTCCTTGGGGATGCAGAGGCCCCTCCACAAGACTTATATCTTTATCCTCTCAACACTCATCTTTCGGCACGTTAGGGAAAAGACCCACAGGCTGATAATCGGGGTCAGGCAGATGTACTTCTTCAATCCCCCCGTCTCAAGGGAGGCTTTCACCTAATTTGAGTTCTTTGTATCTAGAAAGCTAAGAAGTGAACAAATTGGAAAAAGTGTTAAAATGGAACAACTTCTAGTGAATTGYTTCAGAAAAGACAAGATACAAAGAAATGAAGTCAATTACAGTACTTTCTTGTGTTGCCAGATATGAAATGAACATACTAGATGGCACAAAATAATCTCGAAAATAGTTTTTCTGAGTGAAAATAGACTTTTGAAAGCACTATTTTCCCCTACCAGTAAGTTTTGGCAGAGTTGGACATAACGTAAAGCTTTCCCAACATAAATGGTCATTATAAAACTAAATACGTGACTCAACGTCTAACTGTGTTATTTGTAAGGAAATGAATGAAGGCTGAATGCGATCCAGTACTTTACCTTGACTACAATCATTACAAATACTAAAGACTAAAATAGCACATGCAACGTGAACCCATGGACTTCACCTTGGCCTGAACCCTTTTAATTATGAACCGCTACAACTTCTTCCCGTGCAATATTTATGCACAGAGAGATAACTCCATTACGTCTTAGATTGCTGTAAGTTGAGATAAACACTTGCCRAGTTGTTACAACCAATCGCCCGCCTCTATTCCTCAATGTCACTGCCTTAGCACTCAATAATTCAAAGCTTGGCAGTAATGAGCTCCCCGTAGGCCCCGTCCCCGAGGAGCCTCCCCACTGTGCCTCTACTGTAATGTAGTTATATCTCATGTCAGCTTTCAAATCAATTACATTTCTATCTGATGGCTAAGTAATTGCGCCTGATTGAGTTTTTGGCACGCCATTCAAGTGTGTAGTTCGTAAACTCAAGCCAGTCAAAACAGGAAGCTTCATCAAATGAAACTGTATTTCATCCTGATTGAGGCTGCTTGCATGATAGGCACAACTGTAATTATGATAATAATAACAATAGCAATCTGTGTTTTCTCAGCTTTGTTGGGGTTTTTTTTTCCGCTTGCTCTCCAGATGAAATTTTTACCCCAAGGACAATGAACAGCATTTAGTTTACTCAAGATGCAAAGGCTGATTTGATTGTTTGTAACTGGTGCAATTTAGTAGATTAAATGCAAACCATAATATAAGGCTTGAATTTAGTTTTTATTTTTTTGCAGTTGTGCAACAAACTTTCCCTGCCATACCAAGCATTGTTACAGGGACCTAGAGTTTGATATCATAATGTTTTATGCCACTTATTAACAGCCACTACCTGTTTTATTTTTGTTTGGTTTAGTTTGGTTTAGTTTGGTTTGGTTTGGTTTGGTTTGGTTTGGTTTGGTTTGGTTTGGTTTGGTTTGGTTTGGTTTGGTTTGGTTTGGTTTGATTTGGTTTGTTTCTTTCTTTGATGGTTTGTTTTGTTTTGTTTGTTTCTTTGTCTGTTTTGTTTAGTTTTTTTGTGTTTGTTTTGCCAGGCCCTACAGGGCCAAGTTTCATCCACACTGATCAGATATATTGATAAATGGGTGAAAAAGGCAACGCCTCATCAGCAGACAAATTCCAGCGGATGCTTGGGTGGATACATGCATGGATGAATGTACAATGAATTACATGGACAAATAGACTTGGGCTGGAGGAATGAAAGACTTGACAAATATTTACATGAATGGATGGACACCTGGATACACGGATAGAAAGATGGATCAACACATTGCATGCCTGGATCCATGATGGTTTTCTGTAATGTAGAGAGGTATTGATATAGATGAGAGGGAGGATGCTGTGGTTAGGTGCATCAGCAGCTAAACAGTGATGAATTGTGGCTGCTTTCAGCAGCACTAAGTATAACAGACATAGCAAAGCAGCCTGGCTCATCCATAATCAGAAGACACAAACGATTGTCTTCATGCCAAAAGAGACGTTCTCTGGAAAYGAAGCGCTGGGAGTATCTGCCAACTTGTCTCTCTGTCTCCACTTCATCATCTTTTTTCTTTTCTTTTCACATCCCCATGCTGTTGGTGTTCTTGCCCTTTAACTCTCTTCACTTGTTTTATTCTCTCCTCATTTCTCTTCTTAAGGCCCTGCATGTCCCTGTCTGTCTCTCACTCCCTCTGACACTGTCTTTTGTTCTGCAGCTTTCCTTTTTGTTTTACTGTGCTGGAGCCACTGGGTGCACATCTACAATCTTGCTTTTCATTTCATGGCTTCTGGAAATGGATGTTTTACTGCCTTCATTAAGGCATGCAGCAGTCAGCGCTGTGTTTTCCCTCTGAAGTTTAGCTCCATGAACCTCACCATTAGAGGACATTATGGCCTCAGATTTCAGGTCACAGTGGAACACTGTATAATTTGATTAGTGTTATTAATCATGTGGAATACAGCTTTTTTGCTCCCATCTCTTTTCCCTCCTCCCCCTTACTGCCATTTTACTTCTGCTTTCAAATGTGTCTCTTGCTTCTTCCTGCTCCTCTCTTATCCATGCACTCCTCCATCGCCTGCACCACAACACGTAGCCAGTCAAACTGACAAAGGGCCCTGCACCTTCCATTTAAAAAAACAATGATTTACCACTTGTTTTGTCCTCTCCCCCTCCCTCCACGGCCCACCACCATAACCCCCTTCTGAGCGATGCCCCCTCTCTTTACCAAAGACATAAATCAATTGAGATGAAAGTTCCATAATTGTGCTTGCTGGGAGGGATTTGAGCAAAATTGCACTATGAATTTTTTAAAGGGAATTTTTACTAGCTGTTCAGCGAGACTTGGGCGGCGAAGGAAGGTGAGGCCACGAGGATTTATGGGCCTGGAATCTTCATTACTGAAGTAATTTTCCTGCAAATGATAGTGCAGCACCCTGGGGGGGGGGGGGGGGCACGCCTGGGAGAGTACAAACCTGCTTAATCTCTAGTGGAGAGAAAGGAGCTCAGAGCACTAATATCATCTGTAAGGGACTGAAGCTTCATTTGTTCACATCTAAACCACAGACAGTCTATTTGTGATTCATAGTAATTGATTGCTCAGATTTGTTCCAGGAGTAGCAATATGAGCCAGTTTCACTACGAAGGATGGTTGGTTTATACTGCTAAAAGAAAAAAAGCATTTTTTGTATTTTATAATGCAAGGGAATATTAATATAKTGACAGACATTTATTAAGATTTACATATAATCAGTGTAATGGTAAAGGTTGATGCACAAGCACCACAGKTGTGTTCTATTGCTCCTCTGTCCTTTTTTGTTGTTGTTTGTTTTTTTCTTTCTATTCTATTATGTGTTTCAAAGGGATCCATGATTAGTTGTAACATTAGACTTTATTTAATAAACATTTATTTTAACTGTAAAATAAAGACAGTAAAAACGCTATAGGATGTTTAGTTT